CACGGCGAAGCCCAGCACTTGCTGCCGGTCACTCAGGTGCTCTGGGAACTTAGCTACCAAACAGCCCTGGGGGAGACCGCGGGTGCTGCCAGATGCTGCGTCCATTACTCTGACAGTGCCCTGATGCAGGCAGGCAACTGTCCGGGCCCTGATGGGCTAGCACAAAGGCAGTCGGTGCCTCCCATGTGCCCCTGAGGTCGCTATCTGTGGCATCACCCTGCTCCTGCTGCCCCATGAGCATGGATGCCCTGGGAGAGCAGGAAGAGCTGAGATCAGATGAACGAACGGGTTCAGCAAAGCCCTCAGCACGGGTCTTCTGACGGGAGCCATGGAGCTGCTCGGCTGCACGTGGGCCAGAGAGAGGTGACGTTTCCACGCCCAGGTGAGTGTGATGGGGGAACTTGCCATCACGGCTCTAAGGATGCAGCTTGGGCTGGGAGCACTGCTTCCCTTGGCCTGGCGAATCCTGAATGAGAGGAGCCGGCACAAAACGATCCGTGCTAGGGGCTGCAATGGGGCAGGGGGCCAGACACAGCGGGAAGATTTCTCTGCCGGGGACCCCCACCCACGAGCTCCTGGCCAACCTTCCAGCAAGCCTGCAAGCCTGAGGCTGGGGAGTGAGCACAGAAAGGGGCTGGGCACAGGCCCCGCAGCAGCTCTGGGCTCCTTGCCCAACGTCTGCCCTGCAGCAGGAAGAAACTCAGCGCACAGCACTTTGCCTCTTCTCCGGCTGCAGTTGGTGTGACCGGGCCCAGAGCCAGCAGGGCAGGGCAGGGCGGCTACCGGATGCACGGAGGATTCCTCTCCCGTCCCCCGGGGGCAGGGGTGTGACACCTCCCCCGTGCTTCCTGCCCACTGCACGCCCGGAGAGCCGGGATCAGGATGAGTGGGTCGGCCGCCTTCCCCTGCAGCTGTGCTGGGAATCCATCACCACTCCTGGGCACACGTGGTCCAGGCCTGCAGACCTCCCTCCGCCTCTGCTGGCATGGCCCGGGGACCGGTGTCTAGGCAGAACTGGCCCCCTTGAGCCTGCCTCTCAGTCTCTGAAGGCCTTGTACTGTGGCACTGTAGATGGCTCCCCCAGTACAGGGGGCCCTTAACCGGTGAGTAACCAGCACAGCCACCAGCCGGAGGATCCCAGCACCCGGCAGAGGCTCTCATGGGCGTATGCGAGTGCTGGATGATGGGGCAAGCTCTGACCTCAGCCATCGGAGAGGGGCATGACCTGGCACTGGGCTTGTCAGCTCTGCAGGCCTGGGGCTGGGCTGTCTCTTCGCATGCATCTGCAGCACCGAGCACACAGGGCCGGCCCTGATTGGCAGCACAGAATCCATGCAAACGGCATGCAAAGCTCACGCATTAGGCAAATACATGGATTGGGTGGCAGCCTGCAGCCCAGCTGCCCTGAGGACATGGGTGCAAGGCCTCTGCTCTGAGGAACTGGCAGGGAGGACATAGATGGCAGAGTCCCTGCCCCTCCTGGCTACCTTCATCCCTATGGTGCCAGCTACAGGCCAGGCCTGGTGGGCCAAGGGCAGGCAGGTGGGGAGCTGGCGATGAGCAGGGGGAGGGCAGAGCTTCCCCTGGGGCCTTGTCTCTGGTGGGGGGAAGCTCAGGGCACCTGCTCTGTGTCACCCTGCAGTGGGGAGACTGGAGTGTTTGCTGTCAATGGGGACTTGGGGCTGGGGTCAGCTCGGGGCTGCTCCAGGCCAGCACGGAGGTGCTGGGCCAGGCTCACCATGAAGAGGGCACTGCGGCTTGGCGCAGGCAGAGACAGGGCTGGACACGATACGCCCCTGCTCCCAGCCCCACACCACCCATCAGAGCCAGAGGAAATCCCTGCTGCTCTGCCGGCTGGATCTCCCGCTGCTGCCGGCACATGGCCCACAGGGCTGCGGGCACCCAGCGGGGCACAGACGGGCTAGGCCATGCATCTCCATAGCTCAGGGGGTGTGGAAGCTACTGGCTCCTCTTCTGTCTTTAGGGGAGGACAGAGACAAGTTCAGGCCTCAGAGATGCCCGGTGCTGCAGCCTTCCCGTCGGGCACCATCACACCCTCCAACTCCCTGCAGCAAGGGGCCTGTGCCCAGCTGCAGGCCTGGCATCGACTTCCGGGTCAGAGCAGGTGTCGCAGAGGCGGCAGGAGGCAGCACAGCCTCCTCCCTGCTCCGGGGCCCATGGCTCGGCTTGCAAATGAAAGGGCCTGAGCTGAAACAGCGACTCAGGGATGTTCTCGCTCTGGGCCGCAGCTTGGCCTCACTGTAAGGCACGAGGCAGAGCCAAGCCAGGCAGCCAGGAGCGGGGGCGCCGGCAAGGGCTGGCAGCGGCTCTGGGCTCATTTCTTTAATGCCGACCAAGTTTGCTGTCACCTCGCTGTCCTGATTCAGCACTTCTGCCGCCTGCAATTTACAGCCAGGCACAAGGAGGGGGCAGGAGGCTTCTGCAGGACGCCCGAGACCTCCGCTCGGAGATGAGTGATACCCTCTGTGCTCAGACAGGTGCGAGGCCCAGGAGCCAGCCGGACCCTGCTCCATCTGGACGGGCTATTTCAGCCACCCCGCTACTTCCACCGGCTCCCTTGGCCCCACACTTTTAGTGTCGGCTATGATGACAGGCTGCGGCGGTGCAGAAGCAGGGCTGGGCTCGTCGTGTTCTTGGCTTTGCCACGTGCATCGTTCCCCATCACTGCCCGCTAATAGCCGCAGCTCCAGCTCGTGCCTGGGAGCCCTGAAAGGATCCGGGAGTTCCTGCTGTACCATGTGAGGCTCCACCGGCCACGCGGGCTCCAGCCCTGGGTAATGCCGCACCATAAAGAAAAGTCTCACATTAACGACTTTTGTCACCAGAGTCATTAACATAATAGGGCTTCCACATCAAAATTGAATATTAATGCCAGGCCGGGCCGAGGCAGTAAGACGGATAATTGCTCTAATACATTTTCCAGTAGGATTTTCACATCGCGGTAGCGACTGCATTAGCAAAACCGATTATTAGCACAGCAGATACAGTGGTGCGGGCTCAGAGTAGCTAAGTTGGCTCCTTCTTTCCTCCAGACCACAGGCCAAGCTGCTGGTCTCTGCCTTTCCCTCCCCGCTGCCACCACCCTCCCACTCAGCCTGAAGGATGGGGCCTGTCCGGAAGCCATAGGCAGCAGACACCCCGTTGGGAGGGCTTCTGGGTAATGACCCGACTGGGGGCCCAATCCCAGATCCCGAGACTGCTGGGGTCAGGGGCCTTCCATGGACATTGGACCCGGTCCCCCACCGCGTTACAACCGTGGGCCACAGGGGCTTCCCTCGCCTTTGCGAGGCTCCTGCAGCTGTCCTGGGTCTGGGCAGTCTGACTGCCAGTGGGGGATATCAGTGGGCACCTGGCTGCCCTGAACAGCTGGGCTTTCCAGTGCATCCCCCCTTGGCTCTGGGGAGGGGCGAACGGCCTGCCAATAATGTCCATCATTGCCACGGGACATGGCAGCAAAACCAGCACCGTGTCCTTCCCCAGTGAGTCAGTCCAGCCACCCCCGGAGAGCTCTGAGCCCGAGGCAGGCAGCTGCATGCAAAACCAGAGCCAGGGTCCCGAGATCCAGCTCTGTGCAAGCCCCTGCCCTCCTCCTTAGCCCTGGGGCATGCTGTTCCCCAGAGGGGGGAATCTGCAAAGCCGCAGATCGGCAACACGCCACTTCGCTGGCACCAGCACTTGGGACCCTGGCCAGGTCTGGCCGCAGTGTCTTTTCCCTCTGTCAGCTCCAGCAAGCACCCGGCAGGTCCCCTACTGCAAGCCTCACAGTGGGTCTAAGGCCCTGCCAGAGGCATGTGCTCTTGTCTTGGCCCCTGCTCTCCTGGGGCTCGTAATGCCCTTCCTGTCCCCCACTCCTAAACGGCAGCAGAATACAGGGCATGGCTGTGGGGCATGCACAGATGTGGGGTGCAGGAGACATGGGGGGAGGACAGAGGGAGAGAGCAAACTGCCATGCAGGCCCCAGGCTGGAGGCTGCTCCCTGCATGGGCCTTGCCTGAGTGCAGGGCTGCGGGTGGGAGAAGGAAAGGAAGAGGTGCGTGAAGCCAGCTCAGGGGCGCAGCCGGGGACCGTGCCAGGAGCCAAGGTCTGAGCTGCACTGCACAGACAGACGACGGCCGTCCATAATAAGCGCCCCGATGACCATGGATACCCTTGGAATGGGACTAATCAGCTTGGCAGGAGAGCAGCGGGAAGGAATCTGCTCTCCCCCGGGCTGGCAGAGGGATCCAATTGCATCGCAGGGTTACATATTTTGCATACTAATCTGATGACTGGCACATAGTTACTGTCACCCGAATCACTGTCCGTGCCACCCCCCTCCCCACCCCATCTCCGAGCCGCGCCGCGTGGCCTCCGAGCAAAGCAACCCGGCCTTGTTCCTCTGTTTGCAAATACGACCCTTGATCGCAGATAGCCCCGTGACACCACGATAAAATGCATTCAGCGTGCAAAGCCTGAGCCCAAGGGAGGCTGCACTGCCAGCAGCCTTGCCCTGCCCTGCCTTGCCCCAGTTCTTTGTGAGACAGTGGGCTGGGCTGGGCCTTGCAATGTGCTGGGGTCCCTGGGAGGCACCCAGGCTTGGGCATGCTCTCGTTGTGTCCCTTTCGGCCTGCACGATCCCCATCGTGCAGGCCGGGTCTCCCCTGGCCAGCTGGCTTTGCAGCTACTGCCCTGGGCTGGAAGTTCCTGGGGGAAAGCAGAAGTTTCCGCTCATCTCTGAAAACCCCCTTGAGCCTCGTGGTGGGAAATCTGAGGGAGGCACTGCTGATTCCCAGCTCCTGCAAAGAGGCAAAATAATAAACAATCTCGCCGCGAAGGAATCCAGGGGGCGGCCGCCCCTCTCGCCCCATCAGCGGTACATGGTACCAGGTCCACTGGGCTTTGGGGGGACTAGCCCGCGGGATGGAGACACAGCCAGGGAGCTCTGGTGCTGGCCCTGCCTCCCCACAAAGCGCCACAAAATTCTTGCCAAGAAGCCAGTGACTGGAAGCAGCGTTGGGAGAGGTTTAACGGGGCTTGTGCACAAGCCAAGGAGAAGCAGGAAGGTGCTGCAGTGCCTGTCTGCCCCCTGGGAGCTCCACACTGCCAGGGAGAGGTCCCCGCCGTGAAGAGACTGCAGTCGGCTATGTCCCACTTCCACATCCACCTGTGCGTGAAGACCCCACCGACGCCGTGCCTGGGGTCGGACTCCGCTCACCCCAGTATTCCTCCCTTGTTTTCAAGGTGCTGCTGGTCGACATCGGCACAAGGGAGGTCAGAACAGGCCCTTCCTCTGAGCCACCCTCACACGCCAACCCCTGCACAAGTCTGCCCTCCTGGGGAGGGCTCCAGAGTCCAGCTTGTGGGATTCCCTGCGCCAGGGTCTCCTCTGTGACCTGTCTGCCTGCTTCCTTGTGAGCGCAGTGGGCCGTGGTGGCAGCTTCCCAGCACTAGGTGAGGAAAAAAAAATCCTATTTAAAAAAAAAAAAATTCAAACAAAGCAGAACCAAGCCAGGATCTCCATGGGCCCTGGAGCAGCCCCACCACCACTGGCCACAGAGGCCCAGCAGATAACCTTGCTCCCACCCCGGACTCAGGGCTCTGCCCCAGCCTGTCCCTCGGAAGGGTGCTCAGGGTCCCCGGGGCTGCCTGGGGGGCCAGGTGGAACCCCATCCCCCGTCCCCTTACCTCCCAGGGCCCGGGGGTGGCGCCAGCCCCTGGGGGCACGGGCAGCGCCCAGCCCCGGGGAGGATGCTCCCGTACTGCCCGGACTGGCGCGCACGTGGAGCCCTCCCCGGCGGCCCCGGCCCCG